GCAAAAAGAGAAGCAAAAAACTCAAAAGACTGTTGAATGAAAGCACAATGGTGAAGCGTCATAATAACTCAACATGCTGCAGAACAAACCGCCATCAGCTACTTTACAAAACTTGAAATAAATGTCTGTATAATCTATAACATCACTAAAGACACTATGAGTGGAATATATACAAGCTATTATTATCCAAGGATGCAATATGCCTTAAGACGTTACAAAAGTTCACCGTGAACACATTTAAGCTTGTTTGTATTTGTATACTGTTCGTGTTTTGTATATGTGTCACACACTTACTCGTTGTCATCAACCCACGTTCTTGGAGTAGAAGACGATGTACCGCAAGCAAGGGAATAGACATATGAATGCTTTAAACAAGATATCTATTTTACAATATCTATCAATATGGTAAAATAGTAGATTTGTGCTAACAATTAACAAAAATGTGAAGTTTTACTGTAATGGTGCAATATGCATTAGATTCCAGTAGAGAAATATATATTTCCATATCAATGTTCAGGTTACAAGGTTGTTGTCTTCACAATAACACAACAGATACATGCTACTGTATGCTTTAAGAATATGCTCACCCCCCCTTTTAAAACAAAGCTAATGTTATAGCACATAAGCATGTGTACTTGATCCCAGATGAAGCTGTCCTTACTTTGGGTTGGTTTTCCTATACTCTAAAAAAATGCTGGGTTAAATACAACCCAGCGCTGGGTAAAATATGGACAAACTCAGCGATTGGGTTGTTTTGACCCAGCAGTTGGATTACGGCACAGAAGGTTGGGTTAAACATTCAACCCAACTGTTGGTTGAAAACAACCCAATTGCTGTGTTTGTCCATATTTTACCCAGCATTTTTAAGAGTGTACTGAGTTAGTAGCTGTTTTCTATAAGTACACTGTTCAAAAGCAAGATTGTAATCAAAACTAAGCAGATGTATTACATGTCTTAGATGTAGTAAAGGTTACCCTGCAGTGCTATATTTCCGGGTGTGGGGTATCCAAAATACATACCAAGTATGTATATTGCTCTGTATAGAACAGCTTTATAATGGCATTGAAGAATTGGATTACCCAAAAATGTATGTGTACTCACCCTCAGGCCATCCAAGATGTAGTTGAGTTTGTTTCTTCATTGGATCAGATTTGGAGAAATTTAGCATTATATCACTTGTTCACCAATGGATCCTCTACAGTGAATGGGTGCCGTCAGAATGAGAGTCCAAACAGCTGAGAAAAACATCACAATAATCCAGTTCAAGTAATGAAAGTAATCCACAAGCTGTTTGATCGTGAGAAACAAATCCATTATTAAGCCACGATTAACTTCAAACTATTGTTTCCGTTGTTTAAATACGAGTTCTCTATTCATAATATTGCTTTCTCCAGTTAAAAAGTCATCTGAATCAGGAGAGAAATATGCACAGATCAAGGACTGTTTACAAGCCAAAACAGTTCTAAACAATTATGTCATGGATTTTAAAGCGAGAGGACAACAGTGGATGGACTTTTTGACTGGAGGAAGCATTATTATGGATTATGGACTCATATTTTGGCCAGGAGTTTAAAGTTAAAACCCCTTAATGATAAATTTTTTTTTTTTTTTAAATGTGCAGCTTTTTACAAGATGTTAATTGATGGACTGGAGTGGTGTGGATTACTTGTGGATTATTGTGATGTTTTTCTCAGCTGTTTGGACTCTGATTCTGACGGCACCCATTCACTGCAGAGCATCCACTGGTGAGCAAGTGTTGTAATGTTACATTTCTCCAAATCTGTTCTGATGATAAAAAAAACCTCATCTACATCTTGGATGGCCTAAAGGTGAGTTTCATTTTGGGGCGAACTATTCCTTCAATCAAACTGGTAACTAATATATAAAGCTGGGGAAAGCATAATTCACATTGCATTAATTGACTTCTCAAAAGTGCACTTGTTTAAGTTCTTCAAGTGTGAGCCTTTGGAGTCACTAGAATAAAGGATAGTATGATTTTTTCACATGTATAAATGTTATTAGCTTGAATCTTTAAAAAGAATCTTTTTTATACACTAAACCCAATAGTTAATGAGATCACATTATATCAGAGAGAGAGAGAGAATATTGTCACATACCTATAATTTATTTCACATATTAAATATTCTTTACACAATATATGTACTACGGCAGTGAAAGTCTAAAGATTGTTTGAACTACTTTGAATATTTGGTGGTGTATAAAGTGTGATGTGTTAGCTTGATGCATCACTTAAGTGCTTTTTAAAGTGAAATGGACTAGTTGGAATGTTTCTTTGATACATCATTAAATTATAGTAAACATCTGTCATTTATTAACTGTAAGATGTTGGTTATGGTGTGATGTAAAGGTACAAGAAAAAGGGAAAGTGGTAAATTGCTTTCACATCTTCAATTGTGTCAAATATTGTCTTGTAAGCACAGAGGATCTAGTAATGAGCACACTAAGCATTTATATTACACCAAATCTGTGCTGTTGGTCACATTGCTCATGCACAAGCCCCTAAATGAGTGTCAGTGTCATTTCAAGACATTAGGAAATGTTGTAATGCTTTTTCAACAGGACAACCTGAACTGAGCAAGTCACTGTATTGAGAAAGTTTGGACTCTGTAAGATTTTTTTTCTTTTCTTTTTTGTTGTAAATAAATTCATACTTTTTTTCAGCAAGGATGAATTCAATTGATCGAAAGTGACAGTAAAGACATTTATAATGTTCCAAAATGTTTCCACAAAAATATTAAGCAGCACAACTGTTTTAAACATTGACAATAATTGGAACTGTTTCTTGAGCAGCAGATCAGCATATTAGAATGATTTCTGAAGGATCATGTGACACTGAAGACTGGAGTAATGATGCTGAAAATTCAGCTTTGTATCACAGAAATAAATTACAGTTGAAAATATATTCAAATAGAAAAGTAATTTAAAATTCTAATAATATTTCACAATATTACTGCTTTTACAGTAATTTTAATCAAATAAATGCAACCACAAGTCATTTCCTGATTAAAGATTGCAATCATATTGTGTACTGCAACATGTAGTAGGTCATCCGGGTATTCCATGCATACCGAAAATGTGCACATATTGCAGAAATACTAAGTGTAGTATGACAGTATGCTATACAAATGCGCGCAATAATAGGGCTTGTAGTCGTTTGGGCTGATTAGAAGCAGCTGCTCATCACTGTACAATCTGTGAAGGTTAATCATTAAGTCAGGCTATAAAGAGCTCCTAGAAAACACACACACACACACGCAGCTCTCTTAACACTGCAGAGGCTTAATGATGTGCATAATACTTGTGTGGGCCAAACAGACTTATGTATTCAAATGAAATGCAGTACCACAGTACTTTTGGGCCAATTGCTCCGTTTTTTTAATGTAGAGAGCGGGGGTGTTTGAATTGCATGTGTACAATGTGAGCTGTGCATTTTAAGTCTGTAACCACTTCATGTATATTCAAGGCAAATGTGTCACCTTTTTTATACAGTTTCCATGCGTGAAATAAACCCTTTTGTTGCTATACCCGTTTGATTCATTCATGTGCATGGAACAGCGAAAAACATAAAAAAAAATTGCATGGTACAGTATTTGGATACTTAAGCCACACTTGGAAAATGTGTAAATATCATGCAAAAGATAACAGTGACATCTATTATATATATTTTTAAAAAAGGTAGCACAAGCACACTTTTCAAGCAAAATATTTCATATTAAACAGGTTTGTTAATTTTTAAATAATAAACCAATACACAGAATGATCAAATGTATGTAAATGTAAAAAAGTTGTAAATTAAACAGATTATTGGAGTACATTTGACAAGAAAATACTACTTCAGGCTTTCTACTTCAAAAATGTACATTTAATTCAATGTGTTACTTAGCGTTTCTCTAGTTGAAATTTACTAGCAACTGAGTGAAAACGGTTTTAAATGGTGAATTTGGGCACTTTGTGGTACACATTTTTCCATTAAATGTGAAGCACAAAAGTATTTTTCTTTATCGCGACTCAGTTCTATATCTTCTAAAACCCCTAAACAAATAGTCACTTAATTCTCACAGTATTTTTAGTGTAGTCATGCTTCGAGGACACTGGAGAGTGTCTTTATCTCTGGCAGTAGAGGACAGTCACACTGACAATTTGGCCATCATGACTCACTGTGGCCATTACAAGCATTGATTTCCACTACATCTGCTGCTGGTGCTGCTTTCACCACGTCCCTCTCACTGAAACCACCATCTCCAGAAGCTTTGCTTTCATCTACTGATACTTTAAAGAGACTGGAGAGCAGGTTCAGTGCAATTACTCGTAGGTGAAAAGCCCTTACACAAATCTAAGCACTTGTGACATTTCAGATGACACATTTATACTATATTTGTACTCTTCTGAAGAAAATGTGAAAGTGCACCAAAACCCATTAATATTTTATTTCAGTAGTTTCCAAGACAACATTTAGCATTTTAATTTAAGTTTAATTTGAAGTACTAAAATAAACTAAAAGTAATAAATAGAAATGAATAATAAAAGGTATTAATTTAAAAGCGAATAATACAAATGACAAAAACAGAACAAAATTACTAAAACATTGACTTAAATTAAAGTGAAAGCTAAATATAAAAAATAAAATTTAATTCAAAATATGAAGAAAAAACAACAATAGTATATGGCTGGGGTCCCTCATTCAATGAAAATTAATAGCAAACCTGAATGACTCAAATCTGACTGTTTTAGCAGGTATAAGACTTTAGCATTTTAAACAATATCTTTAATATCACAAAAATATCAATAACTGGAGAAATGGGACAGAATAAAAGCAGTTTAACTGACCGATGCAGAATGAGTCAGTAGCAAAAAAAGAGCAAACAGGAAGAAAATATAGAAAGAATGGAATTATCAGTGATTTTTTTGTCAATTTCAAAATGAAAACCAACGGTGTTATATTTTTAATAATAATTCTTTAACAGAATTATTAAGAGTAGTTATGTTTGACCACAACATAGTTTATTCAAACACAAAGTGCATATCACTGCAGAACAGCGAGAACTACGGGATGTTAGTGCGTCTACATGAACATGTCGTCATATCCTGGGGGAGGCATGTGATCAGGGTCTGGCCTGAAAGGTAGAGCAAAACAAATTTATCAGAGGTGAGGATATGATGTCAAATGAGTTAATGGCAGTTTTACATCTGAACTCAAACTGTAAAGATCCCATTAAAGCTCTTACCCAGGCCTGTGTCGCCCAACCGGCCCGAAGGGGTCAAAGCGGGCACCAGGGGGCACAGCGCCGGGAGGAAGGACTCCAGGAATACCAGAGGAGGGGTCAAACCCTGAGCGAGGAAACCCGGCACGTAATGGATCGACGATCATCCCTCCTGCTCTTCCCCTGGAGAAAGAACCAAGAACAAGGCCAATTAATAATTCAGTGAGCACGGTCGTTCCTTGAAGGTGCACTTATTCATTTGAGTTCATAAATATTCTTTGATATCTGTTATTCTAAGAGGGCAAACCAAGCATATTTTCCCACCAGCTGTTTTATTCTACATAAGGGTGGTCCAAAAATACTTCTGTAATCTACAGGTCAACATGCATGATGCATTTAAAGATGACTGTTTTGACAAATAATTGATGGGATCTCTCACCCGAAAGGGTCCAGATCGGCACCGCCGGCAGCAAATGGAGCCATCGGGTCAGGCCTAAAAAAAAAAAAAAAACACAAAGACAGACATTTCAGAAACGTTCTGTTACACTGTATTAAAAAGAAGTCTTACATTTTTTATTTCCGCATTTAACATTTTCAAAATTATTTTTTTTATTTTTCTTGAAATTAGTTTTAGCAGTCCTGTGTTCAGTATTTTCTGGTTAGTTATTCTGTTGGCTGGTTAGTTGAATGTCAGTTAAATGCTGTGACAGTTGTTGTTCATACACATACATATGTGACCCTGAACCACAAAACCAGTTTTAAGTGTCAATTTTTCGAAATTGAGATGTATACATCATCTGAAAGCTGGATAAATACGCTTTCCATTGATGTATGGTTTGTTAGGACAGGACAATATTTGGTAGAGATACAGCTATTTGAAAATCTGGAATCTGAGGGTGCAAAAAAATCAAAATATTGAGAAAATCGCCTTTAAAAGTTTTCCAAATGAACATGATCTTTACTTAATATCTTAATGATTTTTGGCATAAAAGAAAAATCTATAATTTTGACCCATACAATGTATTTTTGGCTATTGCTACAAATATACCCCAGCAACTTAAGACTGCTTTTGTGCTCCAGGGTCACATATAGATAGATAGACTTTTGAATGACAGTGTATATATACACACATATAATATAGCATTTGTGGCATTTTTGCATCATTCAATGCCATAAAATGACATCATAATGCAAACAGCCAAACACACACAGTTTTTAACAACATGAAAGGTCGTTATTTTTGTTGATTTGATTGATTGTTCATTTTTCAGTATATAGATGATTATTTGGTGTTGTGGCACAACATTTGCCGGTGTGACTCAGCTCAGTGTTTTGGAAGTCTACAGGCTCTTTGGCTTGAACTCAAGACGGTGGCTTGGCAGCAAAAACATGTTTGACTGAATTACATCACGCCCACAAGCAAGTCGATAAATCGCTGACATCATAAAGAATCTGATAGGGGTCACCGTGAACCCAGGAAGGGGAAGTGGAAAAAGGTGAAAAGCCCTTACACAAAGATGGACTTAGTGGAAGACAAACACCTAAATCCATCTCTGGGTTTCTGCCATGTTTCATGCTATTCTATCTGATTTTTATTGGAAAAAGACTTGCAGAGAAAACAGGAAATGAAGGTGAGAGAATCAGAACGCGGGCCGGATCTCTCATGGCTCCTTCCTAGTAAATATATAAATGTTTGAGTGGGTTTCATCCAACCAGACTTTACAAAATCCCCCAAACTGGCTGTTTTTGATGGAAGTGATGCTGGCACAGAGCAACTCTCACCCTGTCTCTCAGTCCACAGTCTGCAGCGCCAGACACACAAAACCCTCAGTGCTTCAAAAAATAGACACAGCGCAGCAGTGAGAGCCCTCACTCTAGACTCACACTGCTAAATATTAAATAAGAAAGAGGACATGAGCTGAAACCTACATAGCACAAACACACACACACACACACACACATACAAAACAAACCCTCAAAATCCCAAAGCATGGTGAAAAACTACATTACCTATGATGCTTGTACAGAAAATTCTACCAATCAGAGTCACGGCCAGCAAATCGCACCAAAAGAGCTTGCAGGGAACAGGAACTCCAATGAAACACTGCTAATTATGTAATCGAGTCGGTCTCCCTACACTCTCTAAATACTTAAATATGTGTATATGCATATTTAACCTTAAAATATATTGTTTCTACAGATAATAATCAGCAACTTTAAATGAATAGTTTTATATTTTTCACCATTGTTTTTAATAGAATTATGTCATTCGCAGTGCTTCATGGGATTGTAGCTCTTTCCCTCACTAAAGCCGTTAAGTACACAGTCTTGCACCTTTGTCTTTTTGGCCGATTTCAAATACTTTCAAATACAAAAAAAATATTTTTTGCTTCAAATTAAAATTTGTAATGTTGTGATTCACCTCATAGCTGGTTGTTTTGGTTCATAGCTTATAACTCCTTAACAAAGACTCTTTTTTTAAAATCCCTATGGAAAAAAATAAGTGGAAAAAATCAGCGCCACTGAAAAACTGGATGGCAGTCAATTACAGAAAAGTTTCATTCTGCAGATAATTATCCAATCCTTTGAAATCAGAAAACTATTTCATCATACTAACAGTAAATGTTTTGTTTTTGTACTTCAGCATTTCTTAAATCATGGACATACAGACCATGAAAGCATAAACACAGGGGACTGACTATCCTAAATAAGTTCCTATTTCATATTTTAGCTGTTTTTAAACAGTACAAATTATTCAGTGTGCATATTTTCACCTGCCATCAAACAGATGTTTCCGAACAGAAGTTGAAATCACCTGGGGCGGTTACCATGGAAACAGCTGGCTGCTCGAGTACTGTTAGGGCAACTGTGCTATACAAATCTCCACAGACTGCATCTCAAAATGACCCAAAAATTCCCTTTAAAAGTTGACACCCCTGAAATCAATCTATAATTTGCATGAGATAAAGGAATGAGACACTGAAAGTTCACCAGTTGGGTGGGTGTCTGCTTGGAGGGCCTCTGGTCGGGATCAGGAGAGGATCACTGTGAGGGTCCCTTAAGTTTGAGACTCTTTCGCTTTTTGTCTTCTTCTCCGTCTTTCCTTGACGCTCCTCTTTTTTAGGGGGCAGCAGTGAGGACTTTAGCTTCGTGATCAGCTCGTCTGTGTTCTTAAACACACTGAAAGAGCAAAATGGATATGTTAGAACATGTATACATTTCTTTTTGATTCATCTATCCAGATTTTATTGATGTGTCTTATGATTTATGATGGCTAGAGAACACGTATGATATTGAAACTGTCCCAAATACGTAGGCATTTAGCATTTTTTAGAGAAAGAGCTTGAATATGTCCAGAACACTATGGCAAAAGAAATGATCTTTGTAAAAATGTCATGATGCAAGTGATTTCAAACACTGAAGATTCTCAGATAAACATAAAGTTTGAAAAAAATACTGCATTTATCTGAAACAGAAATTTGCAACATTATAAATATTTTTTGATCAATTTAAGCCATGCTTGGCAAATGAAAACTATCAACATCTTTAAAAAATATAAACATTTCCAAACCATTATACATTTGTATATACACATGGCAAAAGAAATGATCTTTGTAAAAATGTCATGATGCAAGTGATTTCAAACACTGAAGATTCTCAGATAAACAAAGTTTGTAAAAAATACTGCATTTATCTGAAACAGAAATTTGCAACATTATAAATGTTTTTTGATCAATTTAAGCCATGCTTGGCAAATGAAAACTATCAACATCTTTAAAAAATATAAACATTTCCAAACCATTATACAATTGTATATACACGAATATAAATAATGTTGCATCATTGTGCATATCATTTTTATTGCACAATCAGCTTGTAACACTCCAAAGAGAAAGGAAAACTTGAAATCGCATCATATGACCCCTTTAAAGGGATAGTTCACCCAAAAATGAAAATGTGATGTTTATCTGCTTACCCCCAGGGCATCCAAGATGTAGGTGACTTTGTTTCTTCAGTGGAACACAAATGAAGATTTTTAACTCAAACCGTTGCATGCCGTGCGTGCGCCCAAAGACAGTTGGACATAGTGGTGTATTAGAGGTAAAATATGATATAAATACTGTCCGGTTTCTGGCACAAACCAATCGTTTCGTGTCTTAGGACATCAATGTGTCGTCACGAGCCGCAGGGTTTAATTTGGATTTGTCTGTGCATGTTTTTTTACTCTCATAGATTTTGTTACCATTGCCATGCCTTATATAACTGACAGACTGCAACGGCTGGAGTTAAAAATCATCATTTGTTTTCTACTGAAGAAACAAAGTCACCTACATCTTGGATACCCTGGGGGTAAGCAGATAAACATCACATTTTCATTTTGGGGTGAACTATATTTTTAAGTGTCTTTTTGCATGACATTTTAGTAAACACACATGCCTGCTAGTTTTTGCAACAGATTATCACGTATAAACAGTCAAAGTCACCACTGACTTACCTCATCTCCAATGCCCAGACATTTATAGCCATTTTTCACTATTTCCCAGTGTACAAAACAAATCAGAGCATCTTGGGAACAGGTTATAGAGTTTGCTACGCAGTTGAAGAGCAGCTCCAGTCCTGCCATCTTTAAACACAGTGATATTCCGAAGAAATGAAACCAAAACAAACCGCTGTCTGTGTGAAAATAAACAGCGACTTCACTCTGAATGCATGGCGTATGGACGCCACAGATGTAACACTAAATATTTAGTTTGAATTTTAATATTACGTGCGTTTTGCAAGGTCTATAGGTTTTTTTTAAAACTTGAATTTCACAAATGTTTATTTCTAATTTTGTTTGTCATGCTGAAGAGGTCCGACCAGAAATATTCCCGACTGGAAACAACCGACTGAACCTTCGTTCCGCTGACATTAAAAGCGAAGGGACACTTTTGGAAAATAGTTTTTCAAATAATTCCAAGCATCTGATTTATAACACGCTTTGACACCAATCAAACAGAAACTGATATACCATAGCACCCGTTATATTACTTGCATACATCTTAACCCGAATATTTGAGAGTTTATTCGAATTATTACGGTCGTTTGTTTGTTTGCCTGGAAATGTTGGGCGTTTTGTATGTGGAGTTTAGTGTGTTGTCATATAAAAGATCATAATGTAAGTATTACAGCTTTTAATTAATTTATACACTACAATGTGATACCATTCACAGTACTTTCTTGTAACATTTAAGCACTTTCTTTCAGTCACCACCTGCATGTAATGGAGCCTTCATATGAGTTATATATATAATTTATTTATTAATTTAAGGTTTACTGGCTATTTATTTAGAAATAGTTATGCTTCTTGTTTCTTTTGTGTATGCATGTATTTATTTATTTAATGTTTACTTGCTAAAATATTCATTTACATATAGGATGAGGGCGTAAACATTATGTAATAAAGCTGAAATAATCACTCTTAACAATAATATACATCACAGTGCACTGCATTAGATCCCTTCAAATGAGCGTTTTAATCTTTGATGTGCTTTAAAATCATGAACGAAGGAAAGTTCATTGTTCATGGCTTTACTTGACATTCTCAAGCTAAAAATAACAATAACCTCAACATCTGGTTTGACTTACAGTGCATTGAAAACACATTGCACAGAAGCTTACTTCAGAGAGCAGGCCTGCCATCAAATCAGTGCTTCAGTGTTGCTTACATTCAGTTACAGCTCTTACAAGAGCCCTACGAACCTTTTAACTTTTATTTAAAGAACACTTAGATTCACTGCTTGGATATTTTCTGCTTTGACAGAATTTCTGGGACTTTCTCCTCTAGTAAACTATAAGTACTGTATTAAACAAAATGCTGTATGTAACTATAAACCACACTGAAAATCTGATCAATGAAGTGCGCTGTGAATTTCTGGATAGTTATGGAGTTTGACATGAATTTGAGTGTTTCATGTAGTCTTTTAATGGGGTTAGTAAGATTAGCTTTTTATTAATATTTTTATTCAGCAAAGATGCATTAAATTGATCAAATTTGTCAGTAAAGACATTTATAATGTTACAAAAAAAAAGAAGCAGCAGCACAACTGTTTTCAATAATTTGATAATAATAAGAACTGTAAGAACTGCAGCAAATCGTCATATTAGAATGATTTCTGAAGGATCATGTGATGCTGAAGACTGGAGTAATGATGCTGGAAATTCAGGGAATAAACCTGTGATATTAATTTAAACAGGAATTATTTTACATTTGAATAATATTTCACTGTATACTATTTTATTGGATTTTTCAACACATAAATGCAGCCGTGGTGAGCATTAGAGACTTCTTTCAGAAACATTTACACATCTTAATGACCCCAAACTCTGGAACAGTAATTATATAAGAAAACTGTTGTTTAATATCATTTATATAGCATGTCACACTGCAGAACATTTCTGTCACAGCTTGACATTTCTTGTCAACTACTCATTTGCTCTCAAGGGAGTTTTGAAAATTGTCATGTTGCCATTATGGCCTCCAGATGTGTGTTTGATGCTAACAGCAATCAAGAGCCTGTGCGTCAGTGTATGATGGCACTCAAAGTTCAAGGGTTCATGATTCATGGCTCCCCTTCAAGAAAGGTTTATACTACAGCATAAGAGTAATACACAGTACTGCCCATCTACATTAGTCTTTACTGCTGTCATATGTGTACTCAAAAGTATCTGCTTTAATGAAAAGTGATAAATCATGGCAACAGTATATAATGTCTAACTAGACTTTTGTCTAGACCACTTTTCATCCTAGTTTAGCCAAAAACGGTACATGAGGCAGTCTGACCGACATCTAGAGCAACCAACGTGCTGTTAATGTGCAGAAAAGAGGTATGCTTTTACATTTATTAGCAATCTGACTTATGATTTTTACCTGGCTTATGATAAGATGTGAAAAAATGTCAAAGATTTATGGTGAAGGTGCTAAATCTATATCTTTAGCTATATATGCAATCACCTGCGGATTAATCTTGCAATAGTAACATTTATTTATTTATTTTTTTACTTGTTTTTAGAAAATCTAGCTTGAATTGGGAAATTGCACATAATACACCTGAATTGCAGTCACCTGAAAAATTGCAAACTGCTAAAATCCCTCCGTAGCAACTGCATAGCTATGTCCTAGCAACCACCGAGGACACTATAGCATTTGTCACTTTTTCCTCTCGCTGCAGGAAAACCCTGAAACAGGTTTTCATTTTCCTGTTAAAAACTGTAGGTCTTCAGCTTGGAAAGATTAGATCAGTTCAGTTCTCATAGTCTTGAGGATTTACTGTAAGCCAGAGCCAGCGGTCTTGAAGGCATATGTTGACTTCAGATCACATACATAAAATAAGGGCTCATAGTTTCAGTAGGTTTGTCCACACAGGTTCAGGCTTGCCTGAGAATACGGCCACCATGTGTGAAGGTTTTCAGCTGTTTGCCTAATGAGGTCCAGACATGATGCAGAATTATCATAAAAAACAAACTATTCAGTTGCACATCAAAGCCAGACCAGCTCAATGAAGCTACTTATCACAACATAGTAACAAGTCACGTGATAAATCATCCAAACAAACTGTATTATGGAGAGTCATCTGACAGTTAGTACTTCCATAGTTTATTTTATTTATATAATTATTTTGTTCTAGCATCATGCCATACATCTGCAGAAGTTTAGACACAAAAACATTTCTGTAACCATAAATTGTGGTTACTTAGTAAAGGTTTTACTGCATGACAAAATTATAATAGTGTGGTTGCAAGTAGCATTGTAGTAAAATCAAACATTATCTTCAAACGAAATCTTCAAAACATTGCCTTAAAAACATGCAACTATAAAATACAATGATAGATAGATGGATGGATGGATGGATGAGGGTGAATCCATGCTGAGTGTGAGATGTTGTTAGCGTGCTTTGGCTGCTCTTGTCCTGTTGAGGACATTACACACAGTCCAGGTGGAGCATATGGTCCTTGTTTGAGATGCTCTGCTACTTAATATATCTGAGCTAAAGTCTGTGAACACTTGAGCTTCTTTTCTTTGCACCTCAGAGTGAGTCTCCACTTCTTGTCTTTCTCTTTTACAGACTGATACTGCTAAACTGTTCCATACACCTCTTCAACCTGTCAGTCAGCTAATATTGTTAAACCTTCTATTAAACGTAACTGTAAATGTTCAGTTTTGAAATGTCTGACAGGAGTGTGGATTGGTCCCTGAATGATTTTTTGAACTTTAAACACACTTCATAACACCAAACACACAAAATAATGTTCTTTTTAGCAACATCATATGACCCCTTTAAGGTGAACTAATGAATGAGTTCAGGCTAAAGGGAAACAAGAAGGTGACCAGGTCAAAGTTAAATGAAACTACCACTTTAAAAGTCTGTAGCAAATCTTACTTTTTTGGCAGAGGCAAATCAATCTTCCTGAAAGGAACAAAAATGTTATATTTTTATATAAAAAAGGGTTTTTTGAATATAAAACAACTTGCACTGTAATATCATTTTGATCTTTTGTTTTCCAGTAAAAATATCTAAACACAAGATAAAACATCTTGCAAAGCTAAATTGCTTGTTTTTCTAATTGTTTTTAGAAAATATATATATTCTTTCTCCCATTGTAAAATTGCATATTTTTCACTTTTCTGTATATACTGTATATGATCCACCTAAAAACTTGCACTGTAAAATTATTTTTTTCTAGTATAATTATATAAACTAAGATATAAAATAAGATAATAATTTATTTGTTATTCATGTTTGTTTTTTTCTCCCAATGGGAAATAGTTTTCTTTTTAAAAATTACACAATTTTGTGATGTTTGTGCATATAAAAATGTTTCACTCGTATAGCGCATGGTTCCTTTTGAAGCTTTTTTGTCCATTCATTCCAAGGTCACAATAAGCGTTCATTTCATGGTGAAGAGCTGTGCATTTCTCCAAAACATCTTATTTTGTTTAATCCGGCGGGAATTGAAACAACATGAGGGTGAGTAAATAATGACACAGTTTTCATTTCTGGATGAACTTCTCTTTTAAATTAATGCATGCATTATGGCAGTCCTATGTAAAACATGATCTCTATCAAAGGAAATGGTAAAGGGAAAAGTGAGTTAACTCCTTAAAGATGTTAAAAGGTATGTTAAAATCTTTAAAAGAATGGTATGTAATATCGGTTATGTATCTGTAAGTCTGTGCCTTTATCTTCTGACGAGAGTACCGAGCACTTCAAGGCCGTGGAGGAGAGCAGCCCCTCTCAGAACATCCATAACAGCCTCAAAGACAATCAACAAACTAGAACCAGCAGGGAAGTGGGCTCCCCAACATCACAACTGACCCAGGGCTGACTACGAGCTTTGAATCCAGTGGAGTTACGCTGATTGGAAGAGAGCGCCACGGAGATGTGTAGTGTCACTGCCTCATGGCGTGCCTCTGAGCGGCCAGTATCTTACCCACTGCATCTGGTGTGTATTTAGCGGGATGTCATGAGCGCAGTGGCGCCTATCCCCCCTCCATGCACTTTCAGCCCGGTTATCAAACACAGAGTCGATTCGAGAGTTCACAACCTTGAGTTTGTGATATCAGCCTGCATGTGTGCATGACACAAGGTACATAATTTCAGTTGCTGAAAGTCACTCAGATCATCAGATCATGGTGTGATTAAATATACCATGGTATTATATTTGATGAATTTTACTTTGACATTTACCACAGTACTGAATGTTTAACATATTCGCGTACCATGCAATTTACATCACTTCCAAAAACTTCCAAAACATAATGGTACTACTATGTTTTCAGGACATGTACTATAGTAGAACCATGTTTTTCTTTTTTGGAAAGACTATTGGAGTACCATACAAAATACCAGTATTTTAAATATTAAAAAAATTTTTTTTTAGTATTATAGTATCCCTTTCACGTAATAGTACCATGGTAGGCTACACCACAGCTCTTTTTGGTACTTGATTTGTAAGTGCTATCATGTGAAAAGTACCAAAATGTACCATGGTACAACCATGTCTTTTTAATGAATACCAATGATAGTACCATGGTATTCTTTAAAGCACATATGTGACCCTGGAGCACAAAACCAGTCTTAAGTCACTGGGGTGTATTTGTAGCAATAGCCAAAAATACATTCTATGGGTCAAAATTATTGATTTTTATTTTATGTTCCATGAAGATATTTTGTAAATTTCCTACTGTAAATATATTAAAACTTACTTTTTGATTAGTAATATGCATTGCTAAGAACTTCATTTGGACAACTTTAAAAGCGATTTTTTTTTTTCAATATTTAGATTTTTTTGCACCCTCCGATTCCAGATTTTTAGTTTTAGTTGTATCTCGGCCAAATATTGTCCTGTCCTAACAAACCATATATCAATGGAAAACGTATTTATTCAGCTTTCAGATGATGTATACATCTCAATTTCGAAAAATTGACACTTCCGACTGGTTTTGTGGTCCAGGGTCACATACTGCATATTATAGAACATCAATATGGTACCATAGTATATTTCAAAGTACTTTAAATGTACATTAATGTTTAATGTACATTAAATATCAATAATATATCATTTTTACATACTGATATAAAGTCTTTCTATTGTATAAAAAAAATAATTATTAAATAAATGCACTTGTTTTTAAACATGTTGTAAACAGCCCCCTTACTAATATTTGGAAGCAACAGTAGCCTAATTACCCACAAAAACTGTTTTAACTGGTTTGTTTGTTTATATCTGCTCATTTTTCAGTCTAATTCCTGAATTTGTGTGGAACATTTGCTGTTTGTTAAGACAGCCCCATGAAAAACTGCAGATGGCAAGCACAAGATGTATTTCATATATATACTGTATATACGCTCACTCTTTTCACTCTCTTTTTTCCCACAGATCTTTAATGATACCCTCAACTTTATATGATAAAATAAACAAACCCAACCTCAAAGCTCCGGAGAATAGGAAGGAGATCTGCACGATCCAGAGCACCACAACCACAGCAAACTGCAATCTGTATTCCACTGTGTTTAGAAAAATAAACCTAGATCTTCTAAACCATCTAAATATAGAGGGATGAAATAGTCAGGCTAAGGATTGTGGGTTGACAAAAAAGTCAAAATTTGAGTTCTGCCTCAGGTATGTGACATTAAAGGTGGAATACAGCAAAATTACAACCTGAAAGGAGCACAATTACTCAACAGCTGAAAGGTAAATTGGACAGATGTTGGATCAGGTGACGTGGGCAGGGTGAGCATCAGGCTATTATCCATGAGTTTCCATGAGGCAGAGAGGAGGCCGGCTCTCTTTCCGAGGCAGTCTTTCAGGCAGATGTTACGGAACCTGTTGCTTGTCCAGATGCATTGGCAACTTTTGGCTCTCGTCTCCCTTGTTTGTCAGACACTTAAATTGACGTTAGCTGCAAGAAAACGAAGTGGTAAGAACTTGTTTT